GAAGAAGAGGGGCGAGATGCCCATTGAGGATCCTAGAGATGAGCTTATTAGTCACATTGTATAAGCTGATAGTTCTATAGTCGGACCAGGAGCTCGGTCCAGGTCTCTTAGGGATCAAAATGATGGAGGATGTTGTGAAGGACTCTGCATTCGGTGGCCAGAGAATAAATTCCTTACAACTTACTCTACGTCAGTTCCCACAATCTCCCAGCATGACTGGAAGAAGAGGGACGAAAAACCATCCGGGCCAGAGACACTGTTGGGATCAATCCCAAACATAGCCTCCCTGACCTCCTCCTTACTCGGGAGGTTGCAAAGGCCGATATGGTCGACCGACTGCAGGATGGTCAGAAAAAGGGCAGGGTCGGGGTGCGTAAGAAAGTCCCGCTCAGAGGAAAAGAGAGAGTGGAAGTATGCCTTAGACGATTCCCGTATCTGGGACTCCTGGGTCACGGATGACCCATTATCCTGGATACTATGGATGTACGACTTGACCCGCTTCTGCCTTACAAACCTCTGGAAGAACTTGGTATTACGTTCCCCCTCAGCCACCCAGCATACAGCAGCCTTCTGCTTCCAAAAATCCTCCATAAGGAGGCGCAACTGGTACTCAGCATGGCAGCGACGCATCTCGGTCCTTTTCTTTGGTGAAGAATCCAGATCATAGTTTCGTTCAGCCTCCGCGAACGCGGTCTGAGCTGCAGTAAGGCGCTGAGTAATGTCACCAAAAGTCATCCAGTTCCACTGTTTCAAAACGCGTCGGAGTCTCCTGAGTTTCTCCTCCAGGTTGTGCATCCCATAAAGGTGCGTAGTCTGCTGCCAAGAGGTTCTAACTATGTCGAGAAACGAATGATGACGGACCCACATATTCTGGCTTGATCCTTCATTTTCAAGAGGTTGATCTTCCAATTACGCTCTTTATCTTTACATCTCACATACACTCTTATCTTATCATTTTTTTCTGTCTTAAGGTTTCTGTTGCTTTTAATTGGATGTGATTGGATGGCTTTTCTAAATTCATCTTTAGTTGCAAAAACCATCCCAATATCAAACACAGGATACCACACTTGGTTAGAATTAAACACATGAGGATCCACATTTTCAGCATCACTACCCCTCATTTCATCCAAATCATCAAGAACATCAACCACATCATCCTCACTATCACTGCTAGAATCTCCCTCATCCCCCCACTAGCCCCTGCATCCACATTCTCTGTAAACAGTGCATCATCATCATCACTGCTACTAGCTCTGAAATTATAATCACTATCAAAAAAATTATCCTTATTCTTTTGCCTTCTAGATCACTCTGTTCTTTTTCATTTTCCTCAACATCTATATTGTCACCAACAACATTCTCACACTCACCACCCTTCTCACTCTCACAAACATTGCCCTTCCCACTCTCATTTTTACTTTTTTTACTCTGACAACCACTGCCCTTCCCACTCTCATTTTCACTGTTTTGACTCTCAGCACAACTACCATTCCCACTCTAACTCCCACTCTCAGACTCACTCCCACTCTCAGAATCAGAAACAAAATTAAACCATCCCCCATCAGTGGACAAACTAGAAGGACTGAATGTACCTTCATTTTCAACATATAGAGTCATTTCCCTATAACCATATTTATGACATAAAGCTCTTATTTTAATGTCTTCATCATCAAGCAGTGGCTTGAAGCTCAAGACCAATCAATAAGAAGTACTTCCTACTACCAACAACACCAAATTTGTCAGACATTTGCTTCAATGTGGAGTTATTCAAGGACCTCATAGGGACAAAATCAAATGTCATTTTAGACCCTCTATTATAACACACAAAACCTTTCCTTTGAAATGTTCCACCACACCACATAGTTACTGTAACCAACTCACTATCCCGATCTATGGAGCACAGACCCCAAAAAAAAAAGAACAAAAACAAACAAAGAAACAACAAAAACAGTCAAACACAGAGAGTTCATCATTATACAAAAGAAAAATAATAATAAACATACAAACAGGGGTGAAATTAAAATGGCAAAATTCAATTAAACTCACCGTAGGACGGGATGTCCGCATCCCAATAATCCTTTGACCTAATCCATATTGACTTCACCATCTTCACGTTTGTTCAATCTACCTTCTCAATCGGCCTTCATTTCATCGCATCTCTCTGTGGAATCCTCTCTTAATCGCTCTTATATTTTTCAAATCGACCTTCTCTCTCTTTAATCGACCTTCTCAAGTGCGTAAATCGACCTTCTCTCTGTAATGGAATAAGCAGCAATTTGTGTTCTGAAAAAAAAAACGATGAAAGAATGTAAAGATTAGGGTTTTGATCTCATTTTAACGATTCATCTTCCATGTTAATATTTTCTCCAATTATATTCACTTACGTGGATTTTTGTTTTTTTTAATTATTTTATAAACCACGTAAGCAGAAATCGGCCCCGTCAGATGAAATCGACGTTTCGGCTCGCCATGTCAGAGGAGATCGGCCACGCGGGCATCATGTGAGGGCCACGTGACAAAACCGACGACAGTTTTGACTTTTGGACGCCGGAAGGACCAAAATCGCGTTGACTTTGGAAATTACGGGACTAAATAGGAAAATGCCAAAAGCGCAGGACTAAAATTGCCACGAGGCCAAAGCAGCAGTACCAAAAATGCAATTTTGCCTAAATAATATCAATCATCAATCCTTACACTCCATATCAACTTTACTTCATTATTCACTCACTTACATAATTTTAACCACTTATCACTCTCAATCATTTATCACCTACTTTTACATCCATTAACTTTAATCATTTTATTTAAATATTATTTCAATACAAACTTAAAAATTCTATTAAAATTTATAAACTAATTTCCTTGATTAAAAAAAAAACAGTAAAAAACTGATATATTAATAAAGAAAGATTTCCTAGGACTTTGATAATACCAGGTGTATTTAATTTTGACTTTTTAAAATTTTTACTATTCTCAAGTATTCAATAGAGATTTTAAAAATTCTTAGCAAATCACGAAATATTTAACTTAATTGACACTGACATGTACAAAGACTTTTTAAATTTGTTGAGATTTCACAAAAAAAAAAAATTAAATAGTCTCTTAAATTCCCACAGAATACACCCAAAAATTTTGTAGGAGTGATTCTGGGAATTTTTTGGACTTTCATAGCTAATTAAACACACACACACACACACACAACACGCACAATATAAAACCTCCCCAACCCCACCAACCTATTCTGTACGGACTCATGGCTTTTAATTAGGCACTACATAAAATAAAAAGATTAGGATATCCGAAACACTAAAGTATATATGTGCAGTAAGTAAGTAATTTAGTAGGTGACCTCGTTCGTTCGTATCTCTAAATTTCTTCAAAAAAAAAAAAAAAAAAAAATGGTCATCTTTTTCCGCCATTTGTGTACCAAAGCAGAAAGTATGGTATTGGGACTATTCTATACTCCTAACAATAATCATAATCATCATCATCTTCATCATATTGTAGCCAAAAAGAAAACAGTGCCTCTTCTCGTGATTTGAATAAAGATCTCTCTCTCTCTCTCTCT